ATTTAATGTATTTTATCACTGAATAATTGGTCTCAAGAGAGAACACCCTGAACCTATCCGAAGTATCCCTAGACCTAAGTAGGCAATTTCACTAGCATGTGCCGTACACTTAATTCCTACTGGTGAAAGCAGGAGATGAAAAGTCACAAGAACGGGCTGCTGAGGCTCGGATTCATCCTCCCTAACCGCAGGCACCGAAGCGTGAGCTCCTTTGTGGTGAGTGAGAATCGTCTCAAGAGAAATTTGGCTCAGCTGAGAAATTAGTAGCCCTCTGGAGACACCTGCTAAGGATGGGGGGACACTCCATGAGTTTAACACAGGATGAACCTGGACCTGGCCTGTCATCTCTGAGCCGTTCTCAGCCCTGCAACGATTTTCTTGACTGTAGCATTCAAGTTTTGGTCAGTCCAGCAACAAGGTCAGAAAAAGAAGTACTTTCTTTGGCGTATCTCATCCTTTCCCAGGTTAAAGCCTTTATTTTGGGAAGAAAGCTAATAATCTTGATATTCAGAATCACCTCTTCTAGTTTAACTTAGTGGGTCAGAGAATTTGCTAAGTAGAAGTGTAATGGCAGCAATCTTGTAGCCTTTACTCAACCAAATTCCTACTGAAGCTGGAAAAAGTTCTTTCTGAGTAAGGACTGAGTTGACTGAGCTGTGTATTTTACTGTGCTGTCTCGGTGTGCAATACAGATACAGAAAAGATGTAAGTCTGTCTTTATTATACTGCAGTCTGGACAAGCAACGTATCTGAGACTTTCTCATACGTAACCTACTACTTTGTGTTTTAATATTTAGCAGCATTTTTATGCAAAATGTTTTTAGAATCGTATTGTTTACATATTCTCAGGCTTATGCATACTGTGTGGTAATGACTGTTGGAAATAAAGGAGCCTGACAGTGGACTCGTTCACCTCATTCACCTCCAGATTTTCAGAAGTCTTGTGTAAGTGCCGTGATGTTAGCCAAAAATCCTCCAGCCCAGAAAACCCACTTCATGGTATTCCATACCTGACAAGGCTGTTGATGTGAAGAGGGCATTCCGTAACGTGAGGAGGAAAACAGATGTTGAAAGAACGTTTTTGAACTTAATGGAAGGAGAGGGCGGGATTGTCAGAGTGAGATCTTGAAGAAATAATGGTTCTTGTTTACTCAGTGGTTTTGTTCAAAAATGTTATAAATGTTTGTTTCATTCCTCCTATGTCAAGTCTTCTACCCAGAATAAAGTTACTATTGAAACATTGACTGACAAGAGTCTCGATCTTTTATTCAGATTTTAATAAGGGCACTTTAGTTTGGCGTTTGTTTGTTTGTTTAGTTGTGTTTTGTTTTTTTGTAAATAAGCCTTCCCTTTGGTGCCTTCGTGGAGGTGTGCTGCCTCCCGGCAGCTGGGCTCTTTCTGTGTGTTCATCAGCCGCGTGATTTGAGCCGAAAGATGTAATTTCTGCTGTGCCCTGTGAGCTTGGTGTGAAGCTGGTAGTGTGGCCCTTGTCAGCTCCTCTGAACCGGGCTGCCACGCTGAATTGAAACAGAAGATGCGTGACACCTCGGGAGGAGAACAGGCAGCTGCACTAGGTGATTGCTGGGGGTCCCTTCCAGCTGAGATACTCCTGTTCCATGGTTGTTGTTGGTGTCTCGTGTCACCTCAGCCTTCTCTGCCTGCTTTCAGGGCAGCAGAAGCTGAAGACAGCTGATAACTTACAAAGCCAGCCCTTCTGCTGGCTGTACAGGTGGGCTTAAAATGAATTGCACAGGTGCTGGCCTGAGTGAAAAATCCCTTTATGAGGATTCGTGGATGACTGGGGGATTGGTAGTGGGAGAAGTGATGAGCTGAGCATGGGGATGGAAATCAAAATAGAATTGGAAATTCGATTGCACCCAGTGTCATGAAAATTGAGGCCGTGGGTCATTTTAAAAGGTGAGTTTGTGAGTGGTGCCTAGCAGGGGAGCGCAGCTACCGTATACCCTTGGACCGATGAACGGTACGCCTCTATCGGGGAAGGTCGTCCTCTTCGACCGAGCGCGCAGCTTCGGGAGGGACGCACATGGAGCGGTGAGGGAGGAAGGGGACACCCGCCTAGCCAGCCAGATCAGCCGAATCAACCCTGGCGATCAATGGGGTGGCAGATGTCGCAGCCAGATCGCCCTCACATCCAGAGTGAAATGGGGGCCGTGACGGTATATAAAGGTCATAAAGGGTACTTATCTCACAGTCATGGCGACGCGGCGAGCCTGACGATCTGGCGATGCGCGCCTCGAAATCATGTCTCTGCAGCGACACAATTGTCTCCGCTGAAGCACTTCGAAAATTTTTAACTTTTTTCTCGGTTGCGTTTTCCTCCCATAAGCCTCCGCGAAATATGCAGAGCAGTGGGTTCCTATTGGCGGCCGTCCCGCTTGTCACCGCCTCTTAGCGCCGAGCCTGGGAGCGGGGCGGCGGTGGCGGCTGCTGGTGGGGAAGGT